TCATCAGAGACCTGAGAAGGATAAATTTGTATAGGAAGTACAATTTACATGGTTTTGTATCAATTAAAATGACAGAGACTTACTGACTTCCTGGACAGTCACCCTATGATCTTCTGTGGTCACTGGAGACAGAGGTCCCAGGGCAGCATCAGTCATTGGCTACCAGGACCAGAAGATCTGACATACTTTCCTGTGAAGTAGGAACTTGGAGGGTAACTGGCAAAGTGAGACAATCAACCCCCCACTCCTGCTTGTCCACAGTCTGGAACAGGGTCATGGCAGCAGTCAAGGTGAAGGGTGATTTTTCACCCAGACGCCCGCTTTGCCCCATTTAAAGCAAGCTCCAGGTAGAAGTTCTTTTGTGCACTATTGTATTCTTTGGAGGAGATTTGGCATGCTGCCAGGAGCTAGCATGTCTTTCTATCAGGAAAAGACTTTTTAATGAAACATTTTAACTGTCATATTCAGCAGATCTCTGAAGAGTATGAGGAGCAAGTATCTATTAAGTGTATCTGATACACAGGAGGCTAAATAAAATTTGTTTCTGTAAACCATAAATGCAGTAAATTTTATCATTACAGAATATGATAGTTTGTTTTGTATGACTGAGTTTAAGTTGTAGGCAGTGTTGGGACAGGAAAGGGATAATGAGTTGGGAAAGAGGCCAAACTTTGGAGGAAGGAGATGTGAAATAAGGGCCACAAAGTAATCAAAAGTGGAGAACTTGGCTTTAGGAAGAGAGGAGGGAGGAGTCAGTGGCTGGAACAGAGTAACAATGTAGGCTGAGCAAGTGTGGACAGAGCAGGAGTGGGGAATTGGGTTTGGCTACAGGAGGGAGCAGGCAGTATTTTGCTGGGGGGCTCTTTGTAGGGAATGCAGTGAGGAGTCCGCTGGTCTCATAGAGACAGTTTAAGGAGGAGAGAGGGTGGAAAAATGAAAAGTTGTTGAAGTTTTGAAAGTTTGGACAGAGTTAAGATTTAAGAGATTTGGGGACGCTGTGTTTGTGTGAACTGCAGGAGGAGTTTCAGGACAGGAAATGCTGAGAAAGTGGCAGGAGGTAGTTTTGGTTGGCCTTGACAACAGAGACTGGCTGGCATGGAGTCAGTGGCCAAGAGCTGGGATTGGACTGGGAAAGGATAGACATAGGGGGAGGGGGCTGGTGGGTTTTTTGGGTTAAGCGTTGTTAAGGAGATTTGGAGGGGCTGGGGGAGAAAAGCAGTTTGGGAGAGTCTGAAGAGGACAGCATTCTGGTTTCAGAGCAGAGGAATAAACTGGGCTGCTGTTAACAGCTGTAAGCCACAGTGAGGTCATTTGTCAGCAGCCTAGTGGGCTGCTGTGACTGGGTGAGGGTGGGTGGCCTGTGGTGGCAGCTGCTGGGACCCCTGGGGTCTGAGGAGCACTGTGTCTCTGGTGCCTGGTGGAAGGAGAGGTGTGGCCACACATCTACAGAGGAAGTGGTTGGCTTGGTCTGCAGGGGTTTTAGGCCACCGGAGGTGCAGCTCATGGTTTTCCCTTGGTAACTATGTGACAGGGGCTGTATGTCAGGAATGGTGCAGGGCTGGTTGCCTCAAGTGGCCCTGTTTCCCTTAACAAACTTTCACAAAAATAGTAGATGAAAAAGCCGAACGGCAGTGACACACGCCTTTAATCTTAGCATTCAGGAGGCAGAGCTAGGAGGATCTCTGTGAGTTCCAGGCCAGTCTGGTCTAAACAGTGAGATCCAGGACAGGCACCAAAACAACACAGAGAAACCCTGTCTCTAAAAAACCAAATAAATAAATAAATAAATAAATAAATATAGTAAAAATAAAATAGTAGATGAATCTTTTCCAGGCTTACTTGGGTATCAACCAGAACCTCAGTATCTCATTTCATGAGAGGACCAGGACAGCTCAGGACCTCAGAAGACATTATAGATAATGCCCTAGACTAAATATTTGGCAGGTACCATACCCTGTTATGCAAGAGGAACAACATATAAGATCAACACGGGTTCATTCTATGAATCGAGGTTGGTTTAAAAATTTCAAACATCAATCTGATATTTTCCAAGACAAGAAGTAAATGGGAAACATGTTTGCTAGAATAGATGGAGAAAGAGAATTTGATGAAAAGTCAAGATGTCTTCAGAAATGTTAAAACTAGGACCAGTGTTCATTCACTGCAAGTGGATTTACAAAGAATCTGTTAAAAATCTTCTTCTGTTGCATAAAGTGACATATTTACCCTAGAAATTTGGAATGGCGTCAGTATTTTCTGTTTCACATGCATACTCCATGTTGCCCTAGGCAAGGTCATGAAGATATAAAGACGACAATAGTAGTATAGTGGTGCAGGTCACAATTCAGTTAAAGAGCTGTAACTATTAAGGATATTGTAAGAAAAAAGTCTTTACAAAGAGCTTAATCGTATAATTAGAAAATCCACAGGGAACTTTTACAAGGAAAATAATGAGTGTATTAGAGTCACTAGAAGTACAGTAGACGACAGTTGTAGCTGCAAGTCACACAGTGCACAAAAGATTAGTGTCTCAGACCAATTGTCCTGTCAACTTTCCATGCTTCCTAGGCTGCTAGGGAACATACAGAGAAACACAGTGCTTCTCTGAGGGAAGGCACATTGGGTCCCCAGAAACATGTACTCTAACCTGAAGAACCTATGGCACATGCCTCTCAAGGCTGCTAGACCAAGCCAACGCCTTGGTTCCCTGCATTAGAAAGAATCAGTATCTTACTCAGTCCACATCAGAAAAGCCTATTCTTAGAATAGATGAGAATTAACACAAAGCCCCGAACTTGACAATGAGCACAGACAGTGAGATTTTAGTGCACTTAGTCTTAAATGGGATTTCTTCATTAGATCTCTCCCATCAAGGCTCAGAGCTTTGAGTAGAAGACAAATTTGAAAGGTTATAACAGCACAGGTGATGGATGACTCCAAGAAACAGTGTCTTCCTGACAAAACAGGACTGATGCACATCTGAATTCTTGGAGACTTTGGCAGCATGCACAGGGCCTGAATTTCTCCGTTGGCTCCCATCCAGGACTTCTTTCCATATGACCTTCCCATGATTCACCCCACTCAATTACATCAACAGGAACACTGCCCTATGAAACACAAAATTATCCTAATTGTATAGAGCATATTATGATGGACAGAGTTCTAGTGTGATGAATTTTGATATGTGTTTATTTTTTTCAAGTTTCATATAATAAATTTGTGTAAAAAATAAAATATGATGGATTTATAAAAAGAAGTACAGTATATGAAAACATATTTTAATCTTTAAAAAGCACTCAAAAGAACTTGTCTTCTGAGCCATTTGTGAATGCCAGAAATACATCATGAGAATGGAAAAGCCCTAATCTACTAGAGAAGGGTCATGAAACTCTCCACCTCATTTCCAGGTGATGTCGACTGTGGTTCCAAGAAAGGTAGATTTTTTTTTAAGCCACTGACAACCCAGGAGTGTTCAGGAAGTTATGTGGGCAAAGAAGCCTACACCAATACCTTACAAGGCCTACAACCTCAGAGACTTCTCATGATTTACACCAAAACCATCTGAAATCTGCACCCACTGGGAAATGAACAGGAAATCATTCACTGTCCTAAACAGCCAACACACACAAAGTACTGAGTGTGTGCTACCAAGGGAAGAGTCACACAAACACCAAAAATGCCTAACTTGAAGACCTAGGTACACAGACCGTGCCCAACACCAGGACTGAGTCTAAATAGGGAGATCTTTCTTCCCATCATGAGCAGTAAGAGCTGTCCTCAGCTGGTTGGACACTAGTGGACAACTACGATTGCAGGATTAACCAACAGATTTCATCCAGCTATGTTTTAAGTGACTATAATTCATGAAGAATCAACCAGGAATGAGGTGTCCATGAAGCAATGACTGGAGGATAAACGTGGAATGAGGTTTCTGAGGAGTTGCTTTCTCACTAGGGATGTGTTGCTTCTGCTGTGGCTGAATTTCTGGGGTGTTGGCATCAGAGAAGGCAGATGGCATGCCATCTGTTGAGGCAACAAGTCACCTGAAGGAAGGTCTGTGAAGATAGTCTGGCTGGAATGTTGAAGGGGATCCAGTGGGGAGGCTTTGAGAAGGAATGGCCAGCCACACACAACTCTCAGCTAGAAAGTTACTGCTCAGGAAGACACTGAGACTATTTATTGCTAAGTTCTGGCCATTGATGACATAAAAATAATTTAGACAGATATAGGGAGATTTTGTGAGATTGCTGCTTCTTTAAGGAAAGACTAGCTCATCACTGACCTATAATCCCAGGAGACTGAGTGATGAGGATCATGAGTTTGAGAACTGCATGGGCTTCATCAGACTCTTTCTCTAAAAATATAGTGAATCCAGATCCTTCTTGTGTCACGTCACTGGAGAAACCAAAGACAGTTGACTGGAGAGGCAGTTCCTCTTCCTGTCAGGCCACTGAAATGACAGCATTGTGATAAGAGAGAGAACCCTCCATAAAAGGCCACACCCTGTGTGTCTTCCCATCTTGCTAGGCATTGTCGCCAACCATCTACAAGGGTGCAAACACAGGAGGAGATGCCATGACTGGAACACTCACGGCTTTTGTCTGCCTTGGTGAGATGTGAAGAAGGGGAGAGAACATTCTACTGCAGGTTGGGGGTCGGGGGGCCTTTACCCTGCAGCCTGGCATTGTTCTATCAAGACATCTCAGGAACCCAGAAGGCAGCTGTGGAAGGGAGGGTGCACTCCAGCCTCAGAGACAAATCTCTCACAGGGAACTCTCTTTCAGGACTGACTCTGGGCCTCAGGAACCTAGCAGCTGCATGTAAGTGTGTCCTCGGGTGCCTCGGGTCCTGACTGAAGACAGGGGAGCTTCTCTGGGCAGTGGGCATGGAGAATAGCAGATGTGGGCTGATGCTGTGAAACTGCAAAGGATACTGGGGCAGAGTGTTGGGTTCTAAAACTTGATGTCCTGTGGTGATCATAGCTATTGATTTCCTTGCAGCAATACTTCCAAAGCCTGCCATCAGGGCTGAGCCAGGATCTGTGGTTGCCGAAGGATCTCAGGTGACCATCATATGTGAGGGAACCTCAGATGCTCAGGGTTACTATCTTTACCATTACAGAAACCTAGTTTCTCTGCGCAGAATGACCCTGATGAAGCCTGGAAACAAGGCCAAATTCCTCATCCCACTTATTAAACAGTCCCATGCCGGGCAATATGTCTGTTTGTGTCACAAGCCTTCTAGTTGGCCAGAGAAGAGTGATACCCTGGAGCTGGTGGTGACAGGTAAGGGTTCAAGCCTAAGTTTCTACATTCAGGACAGGGGTCTGTCTGTTCTCAAGAGTGTTTAGCTCCCACATCTCAATCCTGAGGGACAACGTGGGCTGTGTGAGCCCATGTAACTTGTTACTTTCTTCTGTCTAGGGTATTTCTCCACAAAACCCACACTATCAGCCCTGACAAGCCTTCTGGTTACTTCAGGAGAGAACATGACCCTCCAGTGTGTCTCACAGGAGAGATATGACAGTTTTATTCTGACCAAGGATAATGAGACATTCTCCAGGCCCCAGGACTCACAGCATATAAACGCTACTGGGAAGTTCCAGGCTCTTTTCCATATAGGTCCTGTGACAGTCAGTCATAGAGGAACGATTAGATGTTATGGCTACAAGAATAGTACCTATCTGTGGTCGAAGCCCAGTGACCCCCTGGAAATACACATCACAGGTGAGGTAGCCCCAGCAACTGTCTAGTCATCTTTTGAGATCCATGGGCTCTGGACCCTAAGAAATCCCACGCAGGAAGGTGCTGAAAGAAACTCCTAGCTCTTGAACTAGAGGTTTAGAATGTTAAGGAAGTGGTACCTACAGGCCATAATGGGAAGGGGCAGAAATATTATAGGAATCATCTCTCTTCCTTCCAAGGCTGTCCAGGAAGGAAGGACAAGGCTGTCCATCTTCCTGACCCAGGATGGCCCTATTCTGGCTCCTGGTGAGGCACTAGCCCATCAGTGTTTCTTTGATATCAGCTTCAATGGATTTGCTCTGCCCAGGGAAGGGAAGGAGGAAGTGACCTCTCCTGGCACCCTGGCCTACAACCCCAGATGGGCCCTTGGACTGACTTTCTCCTTGAGCCCCAAGAGTATCTCCTGTTGGGCAAGTAAAGATGACATGGTATACACAGACTCTCTTCTGAGGGACTATACCCCAGAGACATTCTGGACACCCTGATCACAAGTTGGGAGACTAGCCAGTCCAATCAGAGATCCTCATTAGAGAGTATGGGCTGTGGAAGTCCAGGTTGTAAAGGTCAAAATGAGGGGTGTGGTATAGTTGCAGAGAAGTTGACTCAGTGAGACCCAAGTCCTTAGAGACTAGTGCTGATGAAGGATCACCTCAGATCAAGGTGAGGCACCCCTCATGCATCCCTCTTCTCTTCAGGACAGCTTTTGGTCACACCGACCCTCTCAGTGTACCCAGGCCCCAGAGTGTCCTCTGGAGAGAATGTAACCCTGCTGTGTCAATCAAGGCGTCAAATGGACAGTTTCCTTCTGTCTAAAGAGGGGACTGCACACCCACTTCTGACTTTAAGATCAGTGTTGCAAGCTGGGTTATACCAGGCAAAATTCATCAAAAGCAATGCGACCTTTATCGATGGGGGCATCTACAAGTGCTACGGCTTTGAAGACACATTGCCCTACTTATCGTCACACCCTAGTAACCCTGTGGAGCTTGTGGTCTCAGGTAAGCGGTTTTTGGCCTCTCCATGCTAAAAGGGTAACTCATGATCCTACCCTGGGAAGAGCGCTTAGCTAGAACATGAGGGGAAATAGGTAGGGTGGACCCCATGGGGATTCACCACCCCAAGTTGTAGAACCACCCCAAGTTGTAGCATCAGTCCTTCAGAGAATTCCCATCTCACCTCTTTATTGAAATTCAGAAAGTTCTAAGCGGACAGCAGGAGAGTCTTATGTAGCTTCAAGGCAGATGTAAGTAGACAATGAGACATGAAGTCTCCAGGGTCAGCCTCTCTCCCTCAGACTCCACTTGTTTTCTTTCCCAGGATCCTCTGAAAACCACAACTCCTCATTCCAAGAGCCCATTCCAACATCTGGTGAGTGTCACTGACTTCTCTCTTGGGAGTTTGCTCCATCCGCAGGCTGTCCACCAACCCTCAGCACATCTATCTGGTTCCTCTGCTAACTCAGTTTGTGACCAAGGACCCAGAGGCCAAGCTGAGATCCCAGCTGTGTCTGTAACATCCCAGAGACTTAGAGAGTGGGATGCATAAAGGAACATCCAGGTAGAGATGTTAGGGCTCAGACTGGGGAGGAGCAGGTGGGTGAGCTGGAGAACAGAGTACCAAGCCCCCATCTGTACATCACTCTCCAGCATGCTCTGGAAACCACGTTATCCTCTGTGAGAATCCCGGCCTCCGGAATAGTGACAGTAGTGTTGAGATGTAGGCTCCAAGGTCAGCCTCTCTCCTTCAGACTCCATTTCTGTTCTTATCAGGATCCTCTGAAGACCCCAATTCCTCATCCCAAGAGCCCATTCCAACATCTGGTGAGTGTCACTGACTTTTCCCTTGGGAGTTTGCCCCATCCCCAGGCTGTCTACCAACCCTCAGCACATCTATCTGGTTCCTCTGTCAACTCAGTTTGTGACCAAGGACCCAGAGGCCAAGCTGAGATCCCAGCTGTGTCTGTAGCATCCCAGAGACTTAGAGGGTGGGGTGCATAAAGGAACATCCAGATAGAGATGTTTGGGCTCAGACTGGGGAGGAGCAGGTGGGTGAGCTGGAGAACAAAGTACCAAACCCCCATCTGTACATCACTCTCCAGCATGCTCTGGAAACCAGGCTATCCTCTGTGAGAATCCCGGCCTCCAGAATAGTGACAGTAGTGTTGAGATGTAGGCTCCGATGTCAGCCTTTCTCCTTCAGACTCCATTTCTGTTCTTATCAGGATCCTCTGAAGACCCCAATTCCTCATCCCAAGAGCCCATTCCAACATCTGGTGAGTGTCACTGACTTTTCCCTTGGGAGTTTGCTCCATCCCCAGGCTGTCTACCAACCCTCAGCGCATCTATCTGGTTCCTCTGTCAACTCAGTTTGTGTCCAAGGACCCAGAGGCCAAGCTGAGATCCTAGCAGTATCTGCAGCATCCCAGAGACTTAGAGGGTGGGGTGCATAAAGGAACATCCAGATAGAGATGTTAGGGCTCAGGCTGGGGAGGAGCAGGTGGGTGAGGTCGAGAACAGAGTACCAAGCCCCCATCTGTACATCACTCTCCAGCATGCTCTGGAAACCAGGCTATCCTCTGTGATAATCCTGGCCTCGGGAATAGTGACAGTAGTGTTGAGATGTAGGCTCCGGAGGGCAGAGAAACTTACGTTCTTGTTGCAGCCTCTTTTTTTTTTTTTTAGGTTCTGACTTAAACTTTTACTCTGCGCATCTGTTTTTCCGACTATAAAAGGGAGTAGCGTGGTCCACATTTTTAAGTTCCTTTCATCAGTGACCTAAGCTGGGACCTCTCCTCACATAGGAGACTTGCAGAACCTAATTCTGCAGTGTGCCTGTCCCCTCTGCCAAAATCACAGTGGCACATGAAAGGGTATAGAACAGGACCACTGTAGGGAATTCAGGCCACTTCCCTCTAGCTCATGGGATTCATCCTTGGGGTAAGGTGCAATGCCAGAGGTTAGATTCCCTGGTTTCAAACCACAGATTTACCACTTCCAGGCAGGTGATCCGGTGTAAATGGGGGAGGGGAATGAACCCTTGTTGTATGATTGTGGGAAGGGCAGATAATGAGTGCAAAGACCCAGCATGGGTCTTGCACCCAGTAGGTAATTCAGGCAGGTAGCATGGGTCCTTATTCATGATGTCGCCTTTCCCCAGCACTTGAAAGGTACCTGAAGGTTCTCTTTGGGATATCTGTGGCCTTCCTTCTGCTGCTTTTTCTTCTCACCCTCCTCCTTCTCCAATTGAAGCGTCAAGATAAACGCAGGAAAAAGGGTGAGTGGGTTTGAACAGTGGTGACCAGGGTCTCAAGGTAGTGGGGTCCCCTATGTTCCATCCCATCAGGGATCAGGTCTCCAAGATCAGGGAAACCTTCCAGACTGGAACAGATGAACTTAAAAAAACACTCTGGTGCAATCTCAGATGAGAAAATGTGATCTCAGTACACGTGCAGGTGGCAGGTGTTCTGTGCAGTTTTCTGTCACCTGGAACTTATCCCGTGAGCTGTAAAGGTTCCTTCCTTTCATTGTAAATGCCTGGGCATAAGGGGGCTCCATCCTCCTGTCTAACAGTCTTTTCCCTCTTTCAGCCCAGAGAGAGACCACTAGCTTACAACTTCTTGCAGAATCTGTGGAGCCAGTGACTAGGTACAGAAGTCGTCAGAAGAGATAACTCTGGCCCAGAGACACAAACTCCTATCTTTCTGACAGGGCTCCCTTCCAAAATATATCATCTGTCTCCACAGTTCTCTATCAGCTGCTGCCTTCCATGAAGAAAACGTGTGTGAGAGAAAGAAGATTCTGGGGAGAGAGATGTATAAGGTCTCAGTTCACAGGGGTACTGAGGAGGTTCTGGTGTCCAAACTCTGAGGAACTAAAAGCCTGGCTATAGACCCAGGACATCACCACACTTCCCGCCTTTCTCTCCCCATCTTATGCTTCACACATAGGCTGAGTACAATGTGAAGCTGAACAATTGGGTGATGTCCCTGTCTCCATCTGTCGTGCTAATACTTACAGCCCAAATTAGCCCAGAGGGCCTTTTTTGTTCTCTCTCGGGTCTCAGCAATATCCAGAGTTGATCTCTCTCTTCTGCAAGCACCTGCCTCCTGTGTGTTATGGCCCCACTCTCTCCTGATTTTCCCTAGGAGCACATGACTCCTCCCTACTCCCCCTTTCTGGCTCCTTGGCTTCTTTCTGGTTATTAACATGCTCCTGGGTATCTCTGAAGGTCACATGAATAAATGAGGCCAGCTCTCAATACCTCGATTCACTCACTCACCCAGCTGTCACAAGAAACACCCTCTAGACCAGGCTCTCTGCAGGGGTTATAATTAGAGCAAAGAGCAAACTCCCTAACCATGATGAGACAGCACGCCAATGAGTGCACAAGGTGTGGAAACAAAGCAGAGGAAGGGTTGGAGCATGTGGGGCAGTGAAGGCTTTGTGAATGACAAGGGGTGACTGAAAGGTGTCATCTGAGGGGAAGAGTGGATGTAAAGGTCCACAGAGACATCTAGTAGACCAGCACCTGCAGTCTGGGAA